TCTTTCTCTCTCTCTCTCTCTCTCTGAGGAGACGCTTGATTACTTTGGTCTCTTTGCGCTGGCTACGATTCTTCTATTGCATTTCGCTTTGACGCGCGAATATTGCAATTTGAAACTCTCGGGAGTTTCTCTCCTCGAGAATATATCCTCTTCGGGATATAATGTATCGATAGTGACTGTTCGATATTACTCTCTTTTACTCGTCGAGAGCATTTCCCTCCTCTATCCAATGTTTATTAATAAAGTTGTCGCAGAAAAATTAGGAAATATGAATATGAAAGAATAGATTAATGGGATAAGTGAAACATTTGGAGAGAATTTTTCTAATCCTAATAATGTCAGATACAAAAAAAGATATTCTCAAAATTTTTCCCCTATGTTTTCTATTTTCTCTCTTTCGTCATATCTATTCGACAAACGATATTGTTTCTGATTGGAGAGGGGCTGTTTGTTCATAGCAAAAGAAATCTATCAAAAGGTTCGTCGAACCTCGAACGTTTATTCCGCGGTAAAAAGCGCGCGACAGTAAAAGGCGGATCGAGGGGTGGTGGTTACCTTGGGCGGTGGCCCTCGATCATGAATATTTACCCTAGTCTCACAGCTTCGCTTCATTCCGTATTTATTAAGCGAGAGACACCTCGCGAATCAAACGTGCCGTTGTCATAAATAGACAGGGTCGATCCTTCCGTTAAAAACTGATAGATCCGATGAATCATTCAGCCGATCATGCACACGGACAACCCTTCTTTCTCGGGGGTATACCTATTCCGTGTGTGTTCTTATAAATATTCAAGAGACCCATTTATCTTTCCTCTTGGAGGACATCCATCATACGAAGCGGGGAGGGGGAGGAAAAAACGTTTCCAATAGGGGAGATAGGAGGTGAACCGAGCCGTGTTCTCGTTCACTTACGCGAGAATTTAACGAGGTAAAGACCGCGTCGATTATCGCGGAATTTTCAGATATCTTTGATGCGAGATTTATCGAGCGTTATTCGTCAGAGTCATCGATAATCACGATTAATTGAAAAACAATACGGGCGACGAAGTTTGTATTATTGATGGAAAAATCAATTTGAAGTCACGCAATCGTATTTGTCATGAAATTGAAAATCAAAGTCACTTGAAAATAATGATACCGAGGATCAAAGTTATTTAAAGATTGTAATATCGAGAGTAAAAGATATTTGATATTTTTATCATCGAGATTATCACATTATCACTCGAGAATTCAGATACTTGAGAACTCAGATTGATTTTTAGATTTAACGACAAGAATAATGAAATTTTTTTTAAAAAAGTCAGATAATTAAAATTTGGAAGTTTGAAATTATTCGAATTAAAATTCACTTGGATGTATCGTCGAATTATTGATTTGATAATCTGAAAATTTGCGGACGACGATTTGTTTCGATTCGACTAATTTTTCATTTCCCTCGATGATATTTTTTTTTTGTCACGAAAAACATTTGAATACTCGTATTCAAAGAGAAGATGAAGTTAACCGAGTTATCCAGCGCGAAATCTTTGTTATTCAACAAAAGTAATCCGTCAAATGAACCTGTATTTTAATATCTTTAATTATTATTACAGTGCAATTAATACGTAATTACGTGGCGATCGGATTTAGATAATCCGTGTGTTCTTGTCTGCGTTTCCGGAAAATAAATGATAAATATATACCATGAATTCTCTCATTACTTCTACGACTACTTAATCTTATTTTCAAAAAAAATTAAACATGACGAATTTATGCTTATATAATTCCGTACTGGAAGTTAAATAACAATAATAATGATTTTAAAAAATTATTGACGATTTTTAAATATTTTAGAAAACACGATTCTATGATCTTGCATGATTAAAAAACAAATGCATTTACATTAAATTAAAATTAAATAAAAGTGATTGTTTTTGAACGTCTTAGTTTATATTCGCTAAACCTATTTCAAAAATTCACGAATTTAATAAAAAATTACGTTAAAATTTTCTAAAACATAAATGTATTATAATTATAATTAATATTTGTCGATATTTCTTAATTCTTAATCAATAATAAAGTTAGCATACGATTAAATGTAATTGCAATTGGAAAAATAATTTCAAAATTTTAAAAGTTAGTATATATATAATGAGAGAAAAAGGGAGAGAGAGAGGGAGGGAGGAAGGAAGAGAGATAATATTAATTGAATCGTACCTCTTTACGCCCTTAGTGGCCGCCTCGGCGAAGCTCCGCACGTCGTGGTAATCCATGTTGAGCGGGCCGGTCGGACTGTAAATGAGCCTTTTCGCGGGTAAATTGATGGGCAAAACCGCACCGATTACGCCCAGGGCGGAATCGATCTGGGCAGCGCTGAACAGAACCGTTTTGAAAGGCTCGGGCTCGTCGTATCCCGGTGCGCATCCTGACACCAGGATTATGCCATCGTAGTCGCAGCTGCAGATGTTCGGCTCGATTTTCAGTTGACATGGCATCCATCTGAAACGAAATCATCATCATCACTTGTTAATCGTGCCATTAATTGTCCTAGCTCATTCTCGATTCATCGATAATTATTCGCCAACGATTACAGTCATTGTGGGACGCGTATCACTATCATCCGATCGTTAATCGATTATCCAACAGCATTTCGATTGGTTGCTATACATTAAAATGATATTATCGACAGGACACGAATATCAGGAAGATTTAGGTAACTAGGCGTGGAGTTAAGAAAATCTGGCAGTTTTAGTTGTAATATGAGGCCGAGGTGGCAAGTATCCAGAGCATTAGATTTAAGAATAGAGATTTATCTAGGATCTTGGATAATCTCAAATGAAATGGATGTGAGAAAGAATGGCGTAGCTTTTCTCTTGAAATTTTTCTCTTGGTAATTTTCTGGAACACGATTTTCTTGGTTTCGAGAGCTAGAGTCGTTTACAATATAATAGGATTTGTTATGATTCAAAAGTTAGATCTTTATTAATATAAAGTAATTATTTTAATAAAGATATCTTATTGAAGAAAATAGTTTCGTTATTTTTGATAAATTATATGTAGCAAAGGAAACATTTCTCGAAATGATTGCACTAGGAATTCGATATAAAAACGAGGGTTCCAAAAAGCCAAAAGCAATTTGATACGAATCTCTGAGATCTCACGTGGTTTCGAAATCACTGCGGTTCCGCCCACGAATCCGTGATTTATTGTGAAACACATAACCTCCACTAACTTTTGAGAACCTTTCCGTATCCTGATAAATTTGCCTTGTTTCTCATCGTTTTCCTTCTTTCTCTAATACAAAATCTCAATTTTCTCAAAAACATTAAACACCCTCACCTTGAATGTTTTTTAACGAAAAGTTGAATGAGTTTAGAAACTCTGCTTTCAAACTGGTATTACCGTCGAAGGAAATTTCACGAAGAGAGGGTTTTCACTGAGGAATACTCGAATCCTTGCATGGTGCAGTTATATGTAAGAAGAAAGTTTCTGTTGGCTTATTTTCGCGGATTCACGGCCATAGGGGCGTCTTTTCACGAGTTCGAGAACCAGTTCACCCCCCTGGGGGCGGACGTGTTAAATCGCGATACAACTCGTAACTTTTTGGTCCTTTTTTTTCGTTATCAATCACCAAATACGCCTCTTGAATTCTATCATGCACAAATATGCAGAAATTTGATTGATATATTTGATTTGAGCTAAGTTTCAAATATTGCTATCTGAATACCATGAAAATTTTTGCAAATTTCTTGTTGCAAAACTCTTAGAAATTATTTTGAGATTCATATAATCATTTTATTTTTCACATAATATTTATTTAATATATATTTTGCAATATTGATTGAAATGTGTAAAAGAGCACATTTATAAAGAAATATATGGGAAATAACTTTTGATGGATATAAACTTTTCAAAAAAAGAAATATATTAATTAAAATAGAAAGTTAGAATATTTAGTAAGATACTAAATATGCCTAATACACTAAATATATACTAAATATTTTGATAAGTATCAAAGTAATCAAAGAAACAAGAAGAATACAAAAAGAAACAATGATTAATAATTATGTTACTATCCTTATAATATAAAAGTATCAAGTCATTGTCAAGTGATTTACAATATTACTTTTAAAAGAAGCAAAATAATATGAATCTATTAGTATTCATGAATGAATTCAATTTAATACTAGAATTATTAAGTTTGCGTCAATCGGTTTCAAATCTTTTGTTTTTTTAATTATATAAGATATATAAGTATTTTTGATAAAATTAACATATCAACATTAATCCTTATTCAAAGAGAATATATAATCAGATATAATTATTTTCATAATAGGATAAAATTCTTTAACTTTTGTCAATATATAATACAGATGTATAAGCACATACTTATAATTGATAAATTTAGTGTTAATAAGTATAATAGAAGATATTTACTTACATTACTTTATCTATTTAAATCAATCCAAACTTCTTTCAGAAAAATATTTATTCTTCACAAGAAATATTCAACAAACACTAAAAGATATTAAAAAAATTTAAAATAACGTTCGTCTTCATAAAATTAAAAGTAAAACATGGCGGTTTCTCGAGATGAGCCGAACTACGCCGAATTTACACGAAGTCAATCGGGCTAACGATTCCACAAGGAAACATGAACCTTTATACACAATTACACAATACATCGTTTCATCGCTTCGCGCGTTTTACCTCGATTCTACCGCCATGATGTACACTGTAGCTGCGACGTATCCTTTCTAGAAATTATCCTCTTCTCAAAATCAATAATGATTTTTCTATTGGTCACTGAATCCCTCGAAGGGATTGGATTGAAACTGTGCGTGGATCACGATTAAAAAATCGTGTAGAAGGTGGAGAAAATCGTGACGTTCCTAGACGTCTCTCGACACGACACGAGACACCGAAAGGACCGAAATACTGAGGAAGGAAGAACAACGACCAATCGACTATCGTTTTTTGCTGCCTACTTCACACTGGATATCGATTCTCGCTCACACTGCGTCCATCTTCTTTTTGTTCTAGTGTTTCTTGTTTGTCGATCATTTTATTTCGTAAATGGGATTTCATTGATTCATCTTGAGAATTTTGATTGTTAATTAACAGTGTACAATGTCATCAGTATGGTCACGTGAGTAATTTATCTTTTATTAATTGTTTGTATGTATTAATATAGATGAGATAGGAATATATAAATCATTACCAGACTGTGGATGATTATGCAAATTTGTATTTTCATCAAAATAATAAAAAATTAATAATAATTTACAATAATTAACAATAAAAAATAATAAGTTTTTTTATTTTATATATTTAAATTTCTTTTAAATGCATAAACATTCATAGTATATTATAATCAGAAATGAAATTCTTGTTTTATTACAATAAGAATTTGTTTATTGTTTTGTTTTATTACAATTATCATATTTATTACATTTACGAAATCATTTTAATTAAATAAGATGTAAATCGGTTTTTAACCTAAATTTAAGATTTAAGAAAAATTATATATTAAATAGGTTATATTATTTTTGTTATAACAGATTTTTAATACGTTTTTTTTCCAAGTTTTGATTCATTCTCTAAAAAATATTATATTCACTTTACTTTACGAAAAATATTCTTTTTATGCAATAGTCAGGATGAAAGAAAATTGCTATTACGAAATAGGGTCATGACTCAAAAAAGAATCGGGAAACATTGCTTTAGAAAACGTAACTCTTCGAATCACATTTTCTATAGCATCACTTTATACCGTATTCATACGATCTAACTTTCGTATGACGTGATTTAACTTTTATATTATATATAGACAGGAATTATAGTAAAATTTTAAGGCATCCAATTTCGATTATATTCTCCAATCTTTACGAAGAGATTCTATGGCCATTCTCTTGGCTCTGGTTTCTCATAAATTTGCAAATTTACATTTGTTGAAAGTGACACGGTCTATAGATTTTGTAACGCGAAATTTCCTAAAAGTTTAACGATGAAGTCGTTCGATTTTTTATCCTCTTTCTCTCTCTTTCTCTCTATATGATTCATTTTTAATCCAAAACGATTTTTGATATGAATCCACGTTTCATTTTTGCATTGAAACGCGATTCGAAAAGTGTTGAAGGAAACATTGAAGCAATTTAAACGACAGGTAATAACGTTATCTAATCGATCGATTGACATCATCGATTAATGTCGAACGCGATTACACGTCGAGACATGTGAATTTCTGATTGATGAATGTACGTATTGCTACAGATTTTTATTTTGCAAAATGATAGATCTTTCCTCTATAATCGGAACTGGGAATGATTTCGCTGACTGATTGAGGGCATCGTTCCTGAACCATGGGTTATCGACCGAGTGGAACGATATTATCGATTAAACTAGAGGAAAAATTCGGACAGAACGCGCGCAATTTAAAAAATTTCGATGAATTGATATAACTAACAGAGTAATGGCTGAAAAAATGAAACGTCAATTTTCAACACAACACTTAAAAAACGCGATATATTTGTGCAAAAAAAAAAAAAAAAAGAAAAAAAGAGAAGAAAAAAAAATAAATATTCACAATATTTCGTACAGATCTATTCGATACTTGATATACATATATCTAACGCAATTATATTTGTTATATCTATATGTTACAAAAATAACGTAATCTATGACATATAAAACTTACAATAACGTAGAGACGAAGCTCCGCGAGTAACGGAGGCACACTCAATGTACAATTTACGCGAATAGTACTCGCGCTCTGTCATCACACGCCTCTTTCATTTGCATAGTGAATCATACTTGTCGCAAAACGTAAACTCATACCTTTAAGAAATCTTGCGCAACGGACGCATTAACATCCGCTTGATATCTCACAATCTTATCACGATTCAATACTTTCGTTACAAACTAATGCAGGAGCGGAATCGGAGAGACGAAAGCCACCGGTGAAAGCGTTTCTATATCAAATGTCAAAGATCACTTTCCCTCGTCTATAATCAAGCGCAAATAAGGAACGTTTCTCGTATTATTGTTACATAATATATTTTGACGAAATAGGAATAGAAAATTTAAAAATAAAAATTAAAACAAAAATGAAAATTGATATGTACAAAAAGATATTCATCGCGGTATTTACAGATTGAATCAAAATTTGTTTAAATTCTTTTAAAATCTTGATTACTTGATCTTAAATTTTCGTCCAAATATAATCGAACTCTCTAAACGAATATCACAAACAATCCACGATTCCGTTCCTGACTTGAGACAATGAGTATTACATGCGTGTGTACGTATAACGTACAGAGTTCTTGTGGCAAATTTGCGAATCGAAATTCGCAAATGACTGGCTGTTTCCACGAAGTATTACATACATACATACATATATATATTTTTACATGGAACTATCTTAAATGTACGTTCGCGTGAATCAAAGTGAAACTCGTCAGTCGAAAAACAATGTGAAACGATCAAGATAATCTCTAAGATAAGGAGAGACATGATGAGACACGATGAGACAATCGAATCAACAAAGTAGCTGCAGTTCTACGTGCACTGATAAATGCCATCGTTTTTAATCTGCAATTACAGAAAGCTGACTCGTTCGCATGAACCGGATTTCAGTTCTCGATACCGAGACACTCATTCTTCTTGGAATCTCTACTTAACATAATTACTCTGATTAAGTATACGCGTGTACGGTAGGCCAAGTAATCACACGTATGCGTCTCAACGCGTGGCTCAGCGAAGCCTACGACTTTGTACTACCGTCTACCCTGTAAAATCGCTCGCTCGCCAATTCTGAATACAAAAATTAAAGATATACGTGAAAACTTCTATACGAAATCGATGAAAACTATTACTAAAAAGATTACATTTCAGCATCATCGCCTGTAATACTACCAACATAGGACCTCGAAATTAAAAAAGAAAGAATATCACCCAGATAAGTTAGTTAACGTTGGACACTCGGATGAAATATTTTGGAATCAGCCTCGGTTCTCGGACAAATCTTCGAGACTCCTCAAAGCCTCGTCCCTTTGTTGACCTCGTTGGTCACGTCGAGCGAGACGTTCTTAAGGGCGTTCAGCTTCTCTATGTAACCGACGTCGATATGAAGGTTCCCGCCATCATCGACGACCCCCTGAAGAGTGGCAGTCTTTTCCGCGCCATTCGCGATCGAGGTCACCGAGGACGAGGAAGTCGCGTTCGCCCCGTTCTGCTCGTTCTGCAACCGCGTGCTGCTCGCGTATAATCTCCGCCTTCCCGGGAAGAATCTGGAGATCTTCACCGCGAGAGGGTGAAGGAGATGCTCCTCGTACATGTCTCCTTTCGGGTCGGCTGTCACCAAGCTCACGATAACACCGACGATCACCGTCGACATGCTTCCTATGAACGCGTAATACATATACGTGATGCTGTACAAGAACTCGATAGGGTCTATACCCGCCATTTCCTCGTCAGTTCCGTTCCTAAGCAACGGTCCATTTTCGTACGAGTTATTGGCCGTGAGATAAGGTATGCTAGCTGGCTTGGTGATCCAAGGGGAGAACGTGTCGTTCTGACATTTCTCGGTTGACAGAGGTAACGTTTCCACGTTGTTGCTGACCGTCAGGTGGCCGAACGTGATCCATAAAGTGGTCACGTGGCTGAAGATCATCCCGGCCGCGGCACCCTTCCAGTTGGCGCAGGGAACGAGCATGGCCAGTAGAAAAACGCCGAGCAGGGGGCCGGAGGTGGCCGACGTCATCAGCATGGACGACTCGATCACTCCCGATAGCATTGCGATGAGGAAGCTCACTCCTATTATCAGTATGCCGTAGATAACGCTGATCAGCTTGATCAGGTGCAACTGTTGCTTATCTTTCAAGTTCTTCATCGAGGGTATTTGACCGAAGAAGTCCTCGAACGTGACCGTGGCGAGAGAGTTCAGATTAGACATAGCCATGGTGAGGGCGCTGTTGAACAAGGTAGCCATTACGAGGCCCAATAAGCCTGGAAAGTTGAGGAATTTATCTTCCACGTAGAACGGCACGATCTCGTCGAATTTTGAGATGTATCCCAGCGACAGGGGGTCGCAGTCCGCGTAGTTGGCGAAGATTACCATTCCAACCACCCAGGAGAGGGAGAACAGGACGAAGATTATAGGGATGTTGGCCAACATAG